GGGCCTGGAACAGGAGATGTTACAGGTGAGGATGGAGTGAAGCAGGTTCCTTGCTGCTGGCCAAACCCCCTCAGAGCTGGGAACGCTACCACTCTAACAGCAAACATAAAGCCCCTCCTTCACAGCCGACCTTCAGTCTCTTCTCTCCTTCCTGCTTCTTGCACAATACACAGGCGCACGCACATTTTCTCTGGCGGTCTATTTGCAAAATCCATCTCACCTTTTGCTCTCAGCTTCAGGCTTTTGCCAAGCAGTGGTGGAGAGCTAATTCACCTTTATAAACAGAAACCCAAATCTCTAGAATCGCCAGTCATCTTCCTAGCTGCTGCTTGCTTCGGCCTCAAACTGTGTCCCTGGGTGGTCTCGTTTACTGACTTGGGGGCTTCCATTAAACCCCGTGGCTGTGGAGAGAACATGGGGCAGCCCCTTGAGGCTGATGAGCAGGAAGAGAGCAGTTGAAGCCCTAATTCCTCAGGTCGTTACCAAGTGCAGCTAATAGATTAATCAGAGCCTTCCTTGCAAAGCCTTGAATATTAGTTTGAAATTAGCTTGGTTAAATACCGAGGGCTGGAGTGTGCATGCTGGTGCATACGTGAGGCAAAGGGATTTAGTGAGTCTCCTGAGAAATGCTCTTTTCCCTAAGACTTACCTGCTCCAAGCGCTCCTGGCTGTCCCAGCAAGGTGCATGATTTTATCCCCATGCTGACCCCCCAACCTCAAACCTGGGCTTCATTAGGAGAGTGAGCAGGATTTGTTCCTGTCCAGCTGTAGGCAATGGTCTTGCATCCTTTTTGGCTTCTCCTGTAATAACTGAGAGCTGGTAAGAAGTGATTATGTGGAGGCTCTTGAATCAGGTTGCCTGAGCTTGAGATCTCTCCGGGGCACTTACTCTTATGAAATTAATCACTCTAAACCTCAGTTTCTTTCTCAGTGAAATGTTAATAATAGTATCTACTTCAGAGGGTTGTGGAAGGGTTAACTGAGGTAATGAATATAAAGTGCCAGCACAATGCCTGGCACATACTAAGTACTTAATAAATGTCAGATGCTGTTAATAATCCTCTACATTTTTATAACACTTAATTACTTTCAAAGTATTTTCACATAGTTTCACATGATTATCCTAACCAACCCACCGGGTATAAAATGCAAAGCATGTACTATTATGCTCATCTTTACAATGATAAAATTGAGTTTGTAAATGATTAAGTGTCCTAAATTGTAATTAATGAGAATCCATTCTAGCGTCTTGTCCCCTTTCCACCATCCCTCAGATGCTTTAAGAACCCAAGCTAAGAAAAATCTTCTATTCACATCAGAAAAAGTAGGAGACTTGAATTATAACAAGTGCTTCTCATCAAATAACAACCTCTCTGAGTTTGGTTTTTGCATTTGTGGTATTAGAGGGCTCCTTCTGGGACTGATAATCTGTGGTCTTTGGCTCTCCTTTAACAATGGGGCTGGTTCCAGAGATAAACGAAGTAAGGAGAGATGACCCACTGCTCACTGGTCCCCACTCTCTACCACCCCCATGAGCCTTAGGGTATATATGCCTGCATTGTAGCTAAATTGTGAATATGCTATCTTCCAAGTAAAGTCAAGCTCCAGGAGCATAGAGGAACCATTTTAATTGTGTTTCCCCTAGAGCAGCCAGCATAATGCTTCCCACATTGTATTCAGTAACTACTTGTGGACTAATGATTTTGCACTTTTGGGTTCTCTAATTAAGGCCTAATTTTTTTTAAGATTTTATTTATTTATTTGAGAGAGCGAAAGCAAGCGAGAGGAGGGGCAGAGGGAGAGAGAGAGAATCTCCAGCAGCCTTCACGCTGGGCTCAGAGCCCCACGTCGGGCTCAGTCTGATCCGAGCTGAAATCAAGAGTCGGATGCTCAACCGACTGAGCCACCCAGGAGCTCCTAATTCAGGCCTAATTAATGCCTGTGTCAAGGTCAGCCTCATTATACTATCAAGTATTTTGATTTTATGAGTCTAGACATTCAAATAAAAAAAAAACTGCAGCTTTCAAGGGTTTTACCAAGAGTGTAGGAGGAAGACACATTTCTGTAAACTTAAATATTGATATCATTTAAAAAAAAAAAAGAAGTCAGTTGCTTCAAAGTTCCCAGGGATGCCCATCATAATCATCAGTTATCGACAAGAACCAAAAAGAAAGTCTTCCTGCATATACCAGCATTGGTCTTTCAAGATCTCAGGTAAAAATGAGTGTGACTCTGAGAGCAAGACATGTAGTAGACATCATGGCATGTTCCCTGTTTTGTACATTTGGATTCCAAAGTGAACAATTTTGCAGCTTTCATACAAATCAGGTAATGTTCTCTTAGTTAACAGTGGTATTTTTATATGGCTCCATGGACCATGATCATGAATAATTGAGGCCTAGACCATAGTGCATGCTACAGCCAACATTCCTTTTCCTTTAAAATTGAACTGTATCATGAGATCAGAATTGAACAGTGAACTAACCAGAAGATAATAAACAGAACAAAAAAACAAATGACAAAATACAAAAAACTAACCAGTAGATAGTAAAAAAAAAAAAAAAAAAAGGCTACTTGGAGGAATATCAGCACATATAAGTTAAAGAAATATAAATACATGATATAAGATACCAATGTAATCCTTAACTGTTATCTATGAGACCCATTGACACAAATCTTCAAAATGTTTTTATCCTGAACCATTTGAAAGTATGTTGTAGAAATCATGCCTCCTTACTCCTAAATACTTCAATTTTTCTTAAGAACAAGGGCATGCTCTTACATAAACATAGTAAACTTATTTAATTGAGGATATTTAATATTCACACTGTATTATTACCTAACAGAAGGTTCATTATCAAATTTTACCAATTGTCCAAGCAATAACAAGTGTTGATGAGGATGTGGAGAAAAGGGAGCCCCCTTGCACTGTTGGTGGGAATGCAAACTGATGCGGCCAGTCTGGAAAACAGTATGGAGGTTCCTCAAAAAAATAAAAATAGAACCACCCAATGATCCACTAATAGCATTACTGTGTATTTACTCAAAAAATACAAAAACACTAATTCAAAGGGATACATGCACCCCCATGTTTACTGCAGCATTATTTACAATAGCCAAACTATAGAAGTAGCCCAAGTGTCCACTGATAGATGAATGGATCAAGAAGATGTGGTGTATATATATATATATATATATATATATATATATATACACATATACACAATGGAATATTATTCAGTGATAAAAAGAATGAAAGCTTGCCATTTACAACAACATGGATGAAGCTAGAGAGTAAAATGCTACGTGAAATAAGCCAGTCAGAGAAAGACAAATACCATAGGATTTTACTCATATATGGAATTTAAGAGACAAGACAAATGAACAAAGGGGGAAAAAAAAGAGAGAGAGACAAACCAAGAAAGAGATCCTTAACTACAGAGAACAAGCTTATGGTTATAAGAAGTGAGATGGGTCTGGTGGGGGGGGAGGGATGGGTAAAATAGGCCATGGGGATTAAAGAGTACACTTATCATGATAAAAAAAAATAAAAATAAAAATGTTACCGGTGGTCCCAATAATGTCCATTATAGCAATCCTCCCCACCCCCATGCCCAATTCAGAATCCAATCCAAGATAACACATTTCATTTGGTTGTCATGTTTCTTTAGTTTCTTTTAATCTGAAACAATTTCTTAGACTTTCATTGTGTTTTATGACATTGACATTTTTAAAAGAGTACAGCCCAACTGTTGGGAGTTTGTGTGGTACTTCCTCACATTTCCATGCAGGTTATGCATCTTCTAGCATGTATAGTATGTAAGAAATGCTGTATCCTTCCACGTGCATCCAGTCAGGAGGCCCATGATGTCAGGTTGTCCCATTGTTGGTGACATTAATTTTGATCACTTGGTTGAGGTGCTCTGTGTCAGGTTTCTCCATTAGAAAGATTATCATTTTCCCCTTTGTATTAAGAAACCTGTGGGGAGATCTTTGGAGAATATAGAAATACACTGTTTCTTACTCAACTTTTCACCAAAAATTATAGCATCCCTTGATAATTCTTTACCTAATGACTATGAGTAACTGCAAAATGGTGTTTTTTTAATTTATCATTCTTTCTACATTTATGATGTAACATTCTACTGTAAGAAGAGCTTCCCTTTCTCCCCTATTATTTGTTTATATATTTATTTATTTATTATCAATATGGGCCCATGGGTTCTTATTTTATTCAGTGGGCTTAATTTATTCAATGCATTACTGTAATTATCCATTTCAAAGCACAAATTATGACAGATTTGATCAGACGGAGCCCTTTCAAGTTGGCTCTTGTATCCCTTTGACTGTCCTCATCATTTTTCAATTCTTTCTTTGCACCACAGCAGTATGTTCTGAGCTCATCTTGGATTTTCTCTGCCCCAGTCCTGGAATCAACTGTAGTCCCTTTTCATGGAGAAATGATACTTAGAGTTGGAAATGTAGGCATACGATTCGATCTTAAAACATAGGCTTTACAAGATATTCAGTGTTTCCTCTGTTATGTCTGAAGCGCCAGTATGGGCAAAGCTAACTGTGTCCATAGAGCAAAACAGTGGGCAACCTATGTTGGCTGACCCAGTGTTCTACATCTTAACAAGAATGCCAGGTACTAGTTTTAATAATGGCTTCTTGGAGGGTGCAAGGAGGGTAAAGAATCCTACATTAAATGTTCACATTGATTAGGAGACATCTACTAATTTCAAAAACATCAAGATGTGCAAAAAATTTGCATCTTGAAATCAAGAAAATAAGCAGTTTGTCTCAAAGAAGAGCATATCATTATGGCTTCATGCAGAATCATTCAAATGACTTAGGGAAAGCATTAAATAATGTTATAAACGACTTTGTTTATGTTTCTTCTCTCTCTTGTTATCCTTAACTATACTTTCTTTTATTTTCACTAGGCTTCAATAAAAGTATAGGGGCTAGGTCAAATGAGTCTATTTTATTTTTTACAGATACTTGAAAAATGAAAAGAAATCACAGCCAGAGCTTCTAGTCCTCAGTGATTGAACTTAAAGAAGATAGATCATCACTAGAAATAGGTTGGTTTGTTCCACATTTTCTCATATATCTAAGTTTTAATAGGTCTATTATATCATCTTAATGAATCAGAGAACTAAATGGATTTTAATAATAAGAAGAATATTTTATGTGTGGATATGACTTTGTAGTTAACAAGCACTTTACAAAGGCAATCTTACCAAAGGTAGCACAGTGTGTTAACTAATTAGGAGAACCTGCTGGGGATCTGACTGCCAGGGGTCCAAGTCCTGTCTCTGCTACTTACTGGATTTGTGACCTGAGGCAAATTACTGAACCTGTCTAGGCTTCAGTTTTCTCATCTGTCAAAGGAAGATAATAGTAGCATTGGCTTCAAGAAGTCATTGTGAGGATGAAGTGAGAGAATTCAGGGAGAGGGCACAGACCGACCCTTGGTACTGAGTAAACAGCTCAATAAATGTTAGCTCATACAAAAGCAGACCAAAGACAGGTCAGCGTCATTCTAGAATCTCAAGTGGACACAGTTCCTTTGTACATCCCTCGTATGACAATTTAGTATGTTTTCCCTACCTAAGAACCTAACTGGATTGAATAGGAAGGCTCTCCTTAAGCTCTAAGTCAGGGGTATGAGTGAGGAGGCTGCACCACAGGTGCACCACAGTGGGCACTCACCTAGTGCAGCTTCGTGACCTAGCTCTTCACGTGACCCCCTGCCAGCCGCTCATCGTTTGCCTAACCCAGCCTCTCTTCTCTCATCCACTATCCTCCCATTCATAGGATAACCACGGTTCCTGCGAGCGAGGTTCAGAAAACTGAGCAAAAATGCTTGAGTGGAGATAAGCAGAGCAAAGGAGAAAAGAGCACACACTTAGCAGATTTGGACTGCCTCGGCTCACTCATGTTGTTAGTCCTGGATGACACACTCTCTGCCACAATGCTAGTCACAAGTGGTCCTGAGGGCACTTATCCTGGGACAATACCACACAGATGATTATAATTTTCAAGAAAGAAGAAAAAACACCTTTCTTCCACGACAAGGGATTCACCATTTCCCTTTGAATTCTTTAATTGGCCTTCCTAATTAGAGGGATTTGCTGCTTTATTTAGCAGGCCTTGGCTGTGATCTATGTGGTTTCTGCAGGCCTGGGCCAGATTGTTTGCATCTTAAAGGAAGTCTAGGGAAGTCCTACCCCTTTCTAGGGTTTCTTTCACGCTATTCAAGGGTTTTAGAGAACTGAGGTCAAGGATGATCCATTAGCGTGCTGAGGAAGGAAGCTGGGACTCCACTGCCTATTTCAGAGTAATTACATCACTCGTGCTGGCTCAGCTCCTACAATGTCGTGTGAAGCTGTGGATGAAGCAAAATGTGTTAGCAGACTGTCACCAGGGCCTCTGCCATTTGCACAGCTCTTGTACTGTGAAGTTTTAGCATCTGCACCACTGATTCTTGGGAGAGTCTCCTAAGTTCTTCCTACTACATGGTTTGTCTAAAGGTTCCATCTAGGGGCGCCTGGGTGTCACAGGTGGTTAAGGGTCTGACTCTTGGTTTTGGCTCAGGTCGTGATCTCAGGGTCATGAGATGGAGCCTCGTGTCAGGCTCCGCGCTCGCTCACGTGAAGTCAGCTTGGGATTCTCTCTCCCTCTTCCTCTGCCCTTCCCCCGGCTCTCATGCGCTCTTGCTCTCTTTCTTTCTCTCTCTCTCTAATAAATAAATACACTTTAAAGGTTCTACCTAACTAAAAGCTGGAAGAAAGGAATTCTTTATTTGGGAAATGTCAAAACATGTGGGGACATGTGGGATAACAGCAGAACAGAGTTCTCTAGGGGTTACACTATAATGTGGCTTACAAGTAACACTAGAACACAAAATGTAATTATATGTTCATCATAAGAAGCAATTCGTAACAATTAACTCTTCAGGGAGGTCTGTTTCCACTGGCCCTGCAGAAGCCTCAGGTGTTTGTTCAAAGGGACCAAACTGATAAAGTGGAAGTCCTTTTAAAACAAGGGAGCCAGGGCGCCTGGGTGGCTCAGTTGTTAAGCGTCTGCGTTCGGCTCAGGTCATGATCCCAGGGTCCTGGGATCAAGCCCTGCATCAGGCTCCCTGCTCCGAGAGAGGCCTGCTTCTCCCTCTCCCACTCCGCCTGCTCTCTCTCTGTCAAATAAATAAATAAAATCTTAAAAAACAAAAACAAAAAAACGAAGGAGCCAACAATGTTGTGTTTTGCGCTTTACTCCCCAGGTGGCTCTTCTGCTCCCTGAACACCCTCCAACCAAACCACACTTCCCCTCACCCATCAAGCGTCACTAATGGTAGACTCAGAAGTGTCTCTAGTCCCAATGTTCTGTCTTGCTCTGGATAGAGACTGAACACTTTCTGGAATCTGGATGTATGGCTGCCTTGTCCCTTCTAGCTACCAGGTTACTGACCAGATCTGCTGTTTGGCCTTTCCCTGTGAGCATGCATTTCCCTAGCCTCAGGCTTCTCATGGCTATTCCTGCTCTATGATTTTTGTCCTTGAGTCCAGTGGCTTACCAAAGACCTAATTCAGCAGCCTGTCTGCCTCTGGCTCTTTAATTAGCTCCCCAGAGGCTTTTCTTAAAAGTCATTCTGGATCATTTTGAAAGGGGCAGTTCCTTAATATAAAGCGCCCTCCTCGTCAGGAGGTACAGCTGAAAGCTTGCCTTAGCCATCGTATACACGGCCTACCAAGGCCTCTGATTATGAAAACATGCTACTAGAAGGATCAAGGATGAAATAATTTCTTTCTTCACGCCTTCTTTTACTACACAGATGTTATTTAGCCATCTATTATCCTAAATACAATGCAAAGGCTACAATGAGGAATAGATTTCCATTCCTGTCTCAGAAGGCTTACAGTCCAGAGCAATAGTCTTTAAACTTCATTGTGCATAAGAATCTCCTGGGGAGTTTGTTAAAACACAGAGACCCAGGTGCCATAACTCAGAGATGATAAGTCCACTGTTGTAGAGTAGGGCTCGAGAATCTGCATTTTTAATAAGCATTTCTCCCCTCCCCAGAGAACCGCTGTAGGGCTCCTGTGGATACTTTAAGAACACTATTCTAGGACAGAGATGCCCCAAGTCTAGGTCACCACCCCCTGCCAGATACACAGTTCTGGAAGCCAGTGAAAGGAGGCAAAACATGCTGATATGTTTGCTTTACCTAAATAAAATGTGGAGCTCATGTTGTATCTGAATTCTTTATTCCTATCAAGATGCTCAAACTGCTTTTTATGCTTTGACCTCCCTTTCCTTTGTCATAGGAGGGAGCATTCTATGTCTTGATTTTAAAGATGGAGATGGTGAAAACTATCACGTAGTCTGCCACATGTCACACAGCAAGTCGGTAGCAGGTAGCAAGTCAACTCATGGCCTCCACGACATAACAAGACAGAGTCTGCAGACACAATAGCTTTCCCAAGCTCCCAGGTGCTCAGATTACCCAGTGATGCACAAATAGGAAACGACTTGACTTTCTTAGGGTCCCCAAGCCATGGCTGGGGCCCAGGAACCTGAACATTTTAGAAGATCTCCAGATAATGATGCTGCTGGGAACCACTATTGTGAGAGTAACATGTGTAGAACGTCAGACAAGTGTGGGGTGAATCTCCTCCCCTGTCCTGCCCACTCCTCTGTTTAGCTTGAGTCCATTGAACTTGGTATTCCTGCCTACACTTTTTCTCCTCAGGCTCCTATCCCCATATCTTTTCTTTTCTTGTTCTTACTTCCTTTTGGAAAAATACTTGGGGCACAATTCCATCTGTCTGCTTGGAGCAACAACCGCTCTCTTCCATATGTGGTTGACTAAGTCCATTTACCTCCAGAGTGAAGCCTGTGGATTCTCTGGTGTATCCAAAGGACTCTGGTGTCGAAGGGCTAACTTGGAGTACAGGAAATTACAGGTAAGATAAATATATACATATTAAATAGGTATTACATATAATTACATATGAATTATAAATATATTAGATATTTACATATATAGATACATAAAGTAGATGTGCATTTCAAAAATCTTCAAAGTACCTTGCCATCAGTCGTCAACTCCAACTATCACCTTCAACTTCCAATATTATATGATGATTATATCAACACTATTTCTAATGGAAACTGCAAGGATTTTACTTGCTGGCTCTCAGGCAGAGAAATGCTTGGAGAAGGCCATGTCAAAGTCATGTGAGGCATCCTAAAACTCGGGGAAAGGCAGTGAGAGGAAATCTGTAAGTATCCTGGTCAATATAACCCGAATGGGCAAGACTGGTTCACAGTCAAGCATGAAGAACACCAGTATTTGACTGGCCTTCAATTTCTCTTCTTTCTTTCAGTTCTGCAAATGTTTTCTTTTTAATTGCGCCTGCGGGGGTCTAACTTGAATGCCAGTATCCTCAGCTCTGCAGTATTTTTTCTTAAATGCTTACCTACTTTTTTTCATGGTTTTTTCCTAAGGTGTAAACGACCATTTTGAGGAAAACTGGGAAGTTCTTGATGCCGTAGCAAGTGAGGTCTTGGGGTCTACAGACCTTCATTCAAACCCTGCTTTCCCCCTTACTAGCTCTTTGACCTGGGACAAATTGTATGACCTCTGAGCCTCAGCTTCCTCAGCTATAAAATAGAGTTGATAATAGTGCCTCCCTCAATGGGATGTTGTAATGAGTAAATGAGAAAAGGCACACAAAATGCTTAGCACAGCATGGGCCCACAATAAGCATTCATTAAAGGTTACATTTTATTGTTATTGTTAAATTTTATTGTTATTATTACTAGTCTTGGGAGCATCTGAGTTTTCATAGGTATTAGAACTTTGAGAAAAAGAAATAAAACTCCTTATACCAGTAAGCAAATGAATGAGGATTTTGGGGGGCCTAATAAATGTTCTTGCCTGAAAGAATACCACTGACTTTTGAATAAATTTATTCATTCAACACAACTGTATTGTGCATATGCTGAGTTATAGCTCAATAAATTAAACACACAACACTGTATTGTGCACTCCTGACTATGCAGGGCATGGGGGTAGGGGATACTAAGCTAAGGAAAGCAGTTCCTGTTCCTAGACTGTGAATGGGATCCATCAGAGCTGACAGTGTCCTGACTCACCACCTAACACATCCCTGGAGCGGACTTCAGCTCTCAAAGTAGCACATACACAAATGAATCAGTGTCAGGAATGGTACCCAAGATTCTCCTCTCTGAATCACCTAATAGCCATCCAGCCGCCATGGGACACAGGACAAATCCTTTCCCATTCCACATTCTTTCCTTCCCCAGCCCAGTGTCAGGGTGGCATCTGTTAAGAGTCTCCTTAATAAGGGGTTGGGAAGTGGTAATTATATGAATGGAGATGATAAAGATCACAGAATTATTTTTATTTTATTTTTAAGTAATCCCTATACCCAACGTGGGCATCGAACTTACAACCCCGAGGTCAAGAGTTGCATACTCTACTGACTAAGCCAGCCAGGTGCCCCAAAGATCAGATAATCAAAATGCAATTTCTTTCTTTCTTTTTTTTAAAATGCAATTTCTACATTTGCTATGACAGGTTGGAGGAGTGGCATGAGAAGTGGATAAAGTAAATTTCCTGTGACTTTGGATTTGAAACTGCACAATGCATGTCCTCCTATGACTGCAGGATGGTGGAAAGTGCTGGCTAATAACACCGCCTTGCTCATGTCAGTCTACTTCTGTGAGTTTTTTCCCTTAGGACTTAGAAGTGCTAAAGTGTGTATAGAAGTTTTCTGTCCACTGGTTTACTTTTTTATTTATTTTGGGGGCGTGCGTAAGAGAGAAAAAAATGTTAATTTTCAAGGGAAGACCAAGGGAAGTACAGTTTGGTAAAGCAGATGGGCCAGCAAAGATTAATTTTAGGCCATAAATCATTCTCACGCCAATAAACTTAATCTTATAAAAAAAAGAAAGACAAAAAGATAGGCTCTCAAAGATGATTCTTTTGTCAGAGTGAGATGTATGTTTTTCAACAGCAATGGAAAGGCCCCACAATACAGTGGATAAGTCCTGAGCTGGGAGTTGAGAAACATGGGTTCTCACCCACGTTCTTATTGGTCTCTGTGACTTCGGGCACATTTTATAACGTTTCTGGCCTCAGACTCATCATCTGCAAAACAAAGTATGTGATGTTTGAGACCTCTTCCACCTCAGACATACCATGGGTACATGAAGTATGAGAATGTAACATGGAGCTCATGAAGCCTCTTAGATTATTGAGTGGGTATCTTCCCAGGCTGCATCAAAGTTAGAGACATGCAGTCATTAGGAGTGTCGGACCTGTCCTTCTAACCCTGGATCTTGCCTTTACAAACCCTGAGCCCAAATGGCTCCTCAGACTGGCACTGCATTTGTTCAAGCCAGCTATTGCATCTGCTGCTTCACAACCTAATTTCTCTACATTTTTATTTACTTGTTATCACCATCCTGTGAGGTAAGTATTATTTTTTCATTGTACAGATTAAAAAAAAAAATAAGGCTCAAAGAAGTGGAATACTCCATATTACACAGCTGGTTAGTGGCATAACTTGGACTTAGGCCAAAATATTTTTATTTTCATGTTAGTTCTCTTATGTTGGGCTTTTGTGATAATCCTGATTAAAGGGGAAAGAGCTATGAAGCCTTGGTGAAGATGTTGTCAGTTGATATAATTTTGTCATTTGTCACCTGAGGCCTTACCTACATCTGTGCCAATTAAACTGATGAGGTGCCACCCATCCCCAGGAGACACTGACCATGAGAGACCTAGGGAAATTACTTACTTCAATAATACCCCCAAATCAGACCATGGCTAATTATTCTTGTCCTTTTTTATCTCCTACTGGTTATACATGATCACCATTTGTGCGTTAGCCATGCCAGAAACCACAGTCATCTTTGACTTCTTTTCTCTTCTCTCCCATAACTGATAGTCACTAAATCTTATACATTCTTTGGAAATGCCCTAAATCCATCTCCCCCACCCTATACTCACTGCCATTTCCCATGGTCAGCTCGAATCAGCTGATCTCCCTGATTTAAACTCTATTAGCACTAGACCATTTAAAACACACCACAAATTATTTTTCAGAATTAGAGCTTTTATTGTGTGGCTCCTTTGCTTAAAACCTCCCTTCAAAGAAACAAACACAAACCCCCACAGGATTCAGACTCCACAGTATACCATTAACATCCATCTCCAATCTACTCCCCTATGTAGTCACTCTGGCCTTCTGACTCTGCTGAACATTCACCCTACTCTATGGCCCCATTTCACCCAAGAAGAGCAGATACAGAATGAAAAGAGAAGAAATCAAATGATCTGATTCTAGAACCATCAACCTTTTGACAGTTGAAAAGAATGAAACCAGCCAATGGGACCAAGATAGAGTGATCTGAAAGGTGAACAGTCCAGTATTAGTTAAGCATATACATGGAGGGAGTCTTTTAAAGAAAGATCTGCAGGGCCCCTGGGTGGCTCAGTCAGTTAAGCATCTGACTCTTGGTTTTGGCTCAGGTCTGATCTCAGGATCATGAGATCAAGCCCCTCATAGGGCTCCATGCTCAGTGTGGAGTCTGCTTGGGTTTCTCTCTCTCTCTCCCTCTGCCCCTCCCCACCATGCGCATGCCATCTCTCCCTCTCTTCCAAATACATAAATAAATTTTAAAAAATCTTAAAAAGATCCACGCATAGCAAAATGTTCTTGGTGGCTTCACAGGAGCTTCACAGGGCACAGAGGAGCAGAAAATGGGAGACTGGGTCAGAAAAGGGAGGGGCTGACTTGCATGGGAGCATCAAATTGGACAGCTCAGTGAATCTCATGGAAAGGAAAGGAACAGAAAAAATGTAATTGGATCTCATCTTACTACCCAAGGCTGGTTGTAATCTAAGATTCTCATACATAAATTATCCTCACCCCGAGATTCATTCATTCACTGAGTGTTCAGTGTAAGTCAGGAGCTCAGCTAAGCAAAGGTGACCCAGAAATTAACAAGCAAAGGAGAAAAAAAAAGAGAGAAGAACATTTAAAATCCCATAGTTGTCCTCAAGAAGCCCATAACCCATGTTTGAGAATGGCAAGTAAACAGTCCTAAAATAGTGTAAATAAAACAGTAATAAAGGCAAATACAGAAAATTGAGGGTAGATAGAACACTCAGAGATCCAAGAAGTTTTCTTCTTATGGAAAATGATGTGGAAGACTTTGCCTTAATTTGACTCTTGGGTTTTGAAAGTTTGTCTATGTCACATGTAATAAATATTAGGCTTCATAAGCCTGAAAGTATGTGTGAGATTACACCAATGATAGGTGTTCTAAGCCACACCTGCCCATGCCGTGGACATCGGTCCCTCACCTGTCTCATCTGCCCTTCCAGGCAGTGCCAGGGCTTCTCTGTCATCCTCGGCTTTTGCCTCTTCCCCGCATCGTTCGTGCTCTGGACTTACCAATATCTACCCCATCTAACGACCACTGACTGCACCTCTGTTGATCCCCTGTGAGTCTGGGACTTCTGAGCTCTCCAGTGAATTCTGCAACTCTTCTACTTGCCTTGGGATAGCATGGGTTTGGGAATGTCCTCTGCTATTGGGAATATGAAGTGCATCTTTCTCTTCCCTCCCCACAGTCCAGCTGAGTTCAGGCTGTGCCTTTTCGTAGGACTTTACTGGAATTCTGGGTGGCAGAAGGGAATCACAATCAATAGAGCTACCTTCAGCTGCTTCTGGAAGTCCTGCTCTCAGAGCTCACAGGTCAGGTACACATTCACAGTTTCCTTACATCATTGCCTGACCAGCTATAAGGCTTCCCGTCTCTTTCCAAGCCTTTCTCTGAAGTGGGGACTGACCTAATTCCATCACCAGGAATCTGCTAAGTCTACAATCCTTAGAATCTGATGCCAACAGCCCTAGGCTCAGAGAAAAGAAGCTGGACTCTTGTGAGGTGTGAAGTCCTAATTTCCAAAGTCTCATTACCTATCCTAAGATTAGTGACTTATTGGGATGACTGCCAATGGGAATAACCACTTTCTATAAATGAAATGTCACCTCCTACCCACCAGAGTATGACCTTATTCCCAGGTCTTACCAAGGCAACACTTCAGTAAACATGTAATGATAATAATAACAAATGTTTATACATGCTGATTAAGTGCCAAGTACTGCTCTAAGGACTTACATTATTAATTCACCTAATCCTCAAAGCGATCTCACGAGAGATGTACAATTATTTCCCCCATTTTACAGATGAGGAAATTGAAGTACAAAGCAGGTATGTAATTTGCCCAATATCACACAGCTGGTATGTGGCAGAACTGTATTTGAATCCAGATAGCCTGACATGAGAGCCCATGTTGCTGCTACCCAGTACATCATACGGGTAGACCTTTGCCCAAACTGAGTCATTCAGTGTTTATTTTTTATTTTTAAACTTGAGATTTAATTCATATACCCTATGGTTCACTTTACAGTATGTGGTTCAGTAGTTTTTAGTATGTTCTCTGATTTGTGCAATCATCACCACAATCTAATGCTAGAACATGTGCATCATTCTTTCCCCACTCAAAAAATCTCATATCCAGTAGCGGTCAGTCATTTCCATTCCTGCTCCCCTCCCCCAACACAAACTGCAACCACCATCTCTATTCTCTCTCTATATACATTTGTCTGTTCTAGACATTTCATATAAATGAAAACACACAATATGCAGTCCTATGTAGCTGGTTTATTTCATTTAGCATAATATTTTCAAGGTTAATCCATACTGTATCATGTATGAGAATTTTATTCTTTTTTATTGCCTAATTATCTTCTACTGTATGGATATACCAATTTTGTTTATTTATCCATCAGGTGATGGATATTTGGAAAGTTTCCACTTTGGGGCTATTATGAATGATGTTGCTGTGAAACTTCATGTACAAGGTCTTGTGTATTTCCCTTCAGTATATACCTAGTAATGGAATTACTGGTAACTGTCAGTTTTAAATTATTCAAAATATAAGCCATCAAGAGCATAGTCTGCATGGAATTTCCACTGGTTTGCTATCATTAGTCATCTCCTTGAAATGGTTTTTACTGTGAAAATCAAATTCCAACCTGCAGTTCTTAGGTTTTAGGACTGAGCTCAACACACACTCACACACATTTACATATACTCACATTCACCAGCAATATAAGCAAGGATGTATAGGCATGGGGTAGTCTACATTCTTGTAGAGAAAATAAATATTCTCCTTACCCCCATCCCAGCTTGTCCCCAAAGCAGCCTCTGAAGCAATATTTCTCTGGCTCAAACTCGTATCATAATTCACATCACCAAATTGAACCCTTGGTTTCTCACTGAGAAGATCTGCTTCTTTCACAGCTTTGGTATTATTGTTGAAGAATAATGCATAGATTTTTGCTTTGCATTTTTGTAACTGTAGTTGTTTAGGTGCTTTTTGTAGATCAAGGGACCAGTTTGCCCTAAAGGAGCAAGTCCTTCCCTCTTATAAGCCAGAAAATGACTTTGGTTCTTGTTGGTTCTATCAAGGTTTAGAAAAAAAACATAGAGCTTGATTTTTTCAGCTTGAACATAATGGAAAAATGCCAAAACACACAGATTTTGCTGAATGGGCTTAAAGTCAAAGTTAGTGCCCCTGAGGACTGCAGTGCACTAAAAGGATTACAGAAGGAATTGACATATATAAAAACATAA